CCTGCTGCCTGCTGAATAGTTTTGCTCTTTATTGTCCCTGCTAGTAACAGTATGAGTGTCACTGCTGAGAGCATTTCCTGAGGGGGGGCTCCGCCAAGCCTGATTGGAGCAGGGGCCAAGAAGGGGGCCAGTGACGCCCTGAGACAGGAGCTCTGGGGCCTGAGGCCTGGGTCTTCCGTCTATGGTCCCTAAAAGGGGCAGGGGGAGAGAGGAGGCTGGCTGGAGCCCTCAAGACCCAAGCTCCTTCCCCATTCCTCCTAGGAGGGCTTCCGCTCATTCTTCCTCTGGGAAAACTGAGACAAGATAGGCTTGGCTGGGTGAGGAAGGGCTTACCCTTCCTGAGTTGGGCCTTGGTGGGGGCCCAGGGACACCCCGCATCTGCCACATAATCTCTTGGGCTGGACATTTTTCCTGGGAACCAGCCAGCAGCTGGAACACCGGGTGCCATATTTCTTGTACCTGGGGTGGGAGTACAAGAAACCAATATTCAGTATGCACCAGGGGCACAGAAACCGCCACAAGGAAACCACTTTTCCCAAAGGTGGCTGTTTTCCCTTCCCAATACCCCATGCTGGCTAAGCACAGGCTGATCTAGGAACCCCACCCCAACTCCTTCCTCCATTCGGCAGACCTGATACCACAGGCATTGCAGAGAGGGGTACCATCTTCAGCATCTCTCCAGAGTGGGGTCCTCTGGGTCCTACAGGAAGCACAGCGCCGGGGTCCTGAAGGGACAGAGGCCAAAGGGCAGAGGTCAGAGGCCAAGAGTCTGAGCTCAGGAGACTTGTGTGCAGTGGAGTGGGCATTTAAGGGGATCTCTGTGAAGGCCCCACCTGGCTCTGGGCCAGCCCTGGGTGTTGCCAGATCTAAGACAGAGGGAAAAGCAGGAAGGGAGACAGATGGCAAAGCTCCGCAGAGGAGGAAGCCGGGGGTGGGGTGACTCAGCCAAGTGGAGGGGGCACTGTGACTCCTCCTGGATGGGTCTAAATGGGGAAGCAGGATGGGGAGAAAGACACGGAGGTCAGGAGGTTACGCCCCCCCCTCAAATGTTTATAGCTCTCATGTCTCCAAGACTCACCCAGGGCCTCGCTGCCTCCCAGGTTGGCCTCAGGGCCCCCACCAGGGCCTGTAGTGGGACCCTGAGAGCGGCTGCTGCAGGCCAGACTGGAAAGCAGACAAGGTGGTTAGCTTTGGAGGAACCTGTATCATGTCCCAGACAGCCCCTCAAAATGAAGATTTCCTATCAAAGCATCAGGCAACCCTCAGGAAGTATCTGATGTCCAAAAGGCCTGGCTTTGTCCCTCATTAGCAGTAATAATAATGATTATCATCTGAAGAGATAGTTCGCCTGAGGCCAGCCCGCCAGGTTGAAATCCTATTTCTCTCCAGTCCTCGCTGTGTGTCCCTGGACAACTGATCTCTCTCTCTGTGCCTCAGTTCCTGCATCTATAAAATGGGCTTTACAAGGCTTCAATAGCCCACATACATCAAGTGCTACCTATTATCTTTTACTGTTGTTCCTGACAAATGGTAGCTAGTATCATTACTGGGGAAAATAATGGTTAGCATCAGCTGTCAGAATGGTCAAGAGGAGACCCAGGCTCAGACCTGGACATGACTGGCTATGGCAGCAGGGCAGAAACTGGCACCAGTCCTGCTCAAACACTAGGCCATTTGTAATGCAGGGCTCAAATAGGAGTCTGTGAGCCCTGAGGGCATCCCATCCCAGGCCTCTGTCCCCACAATTATCAACTGCATAAAGGGCCCCATCACCAGGGCCAGCCCCTACCTGTACTCCCTACCTGTAGCTGGGTATGATCTGTAGGCTGGAATCCGGCTTTATCTGAAACTTCAATGTCACCCCCTCGAACTGGGGGTCCACTTTCTCGGCGCCCTGGTGAGGATTCAACTGCTTCCGGGATCTCCTCTGTGGTGGGGCGGAAGGGGCTGGGGGAGACCCTGGGGGTCCCAGGCTGCAGTGTTGCTGGTTGATTGGGGTCAGCATAGCCCTGGCATCCCCAGCCAGAAGTTGGGGTCCCACCGTCCCCAGGGCCTTCAGCTCCCAGCAGGGTTCTAGGGCCTGAGTGTTCCCAGCGCGGGGCTGGGTCGGCTCCTCTGCTGTGTCTTGGAGGAAGTGCAGGGCAGTGACTGAGTCCTGGTGCGCAGGCCAGAAAGACCTGGAAACAAGGGACAGTGTGGTCATCCCCTTTCCTGAGCAGCACCTACATAGGCCTCAGGGACACGCGGCAAAGGCAATTGCATAACCTCTGACCACATGACCCCACGTATCCTTGGGGACCAGAACCTCTTCTATGTAAGTACCAGTAACTAACATTGTGACCCCTGAATAACCCCAGGAACCAAAGGTCATGACCCCTTGACCACTGGGCCAGGTTGGGGGAAGGGGCCGCTCCTTAACGCACCTGCCACTGGCTCTGAAGCATCTTGGAGTCCTTGGCGCCTGCTGGGTGGGGGGTCCGGGGCGGGGCTCGGGGTCCAGACAGGACGGCGCCAGCAGTTCTCGCAGCATCATGGAGAGGTCCGGCGCAGGCTCGGCCTCCATCACACCCCAGCCCAGCCCCCCTCCCTGAATCTCGCCCAGCCCCGCCCCTGCCGGCCCACGGATGAGCGCCACCTGGGTGGGGAGGGACCTGCAAGGTGCTGGTGATTCAAGCAGAGGGGGCAATGAGCCTCACTTGGGAGGGGCAGGGCGGGTCGATGTCGGGCACCTACTTCCTAGCCCCAACTCTCAGGCCAGCCCTAGCCCCTCGCTACCTTCCCACTCTGCTTGTTTGGCCGCCACACCACTGGCGGCCCGAGGACAGCCCCGGCCCCTCCAAATCCCTCCGCGGCTGCGGGGGCGGGGCCTTGCACGCTGACTCACGTGGGCCTTCAGATTCCCAGGCCCTCTCCTCCAGACCTCTGCCTCAGTTTCCCTGATGGCCTCATCACTGCTGTGGGAGGGGAGACCTGGGGGCCTAGAAAATGCAGCTGTAGACCCATGGGGCTGCCCCCTCCCCAGAACACTCAAGATGCTGGAGTTCTGTCAGACGGTTTTATTGCCACTCTAATTAGATTCCACCCTTATCCACACCCCAATTCTCAGGGGCTTGGCGAGGTCGCCCTAGCAGGGGCCCTGTTCCCACCAGAGCCTAGATACGGGATCTCTCTGAAGCATTTGGCCTTCTGGGTGCTTCGACAACTCTCTTGGTCTCCTCCGTGCTCTGGGCTGGGCTGGCAACTTAGCTATTCCTCCAGTCTTGGCCCTGGGGCCGTGGGTGTCTGGGACAGTCCAGCTACCCATGTCAGTGGGGCTTGGGGACATGGCCGTCCACGTAGAAGTTCCTCGTGATCTTGGGCAGGGTGAATTCAGCCCCTTCCAACTCAGGAGTCAGTATAATCTGGCAGCCCAGCCGGGAGTTCTCCTGGAGGAGGGGGGCCATGTCCAGCATGTCGTCCTCCCTGGGCAAGAGGGGCAGCAGTTAGCAGTGGGCATGTGGGTGCAGCTGACCAGAGCCCAGAAGGCAGGAGGGGAGCACTTCTCAGGCCAGGGAGAGGCAGGCTGAAGGAGTCCAGGGGGAGTGGTCAGGGGGGTAGGGTCCCTGCCAGCAGCTGGAGAGGGCATAAAAGCTAGGTCTGCCCTCCACTGCTCCCCAGTGGATACCAGCAATGCAGAGGCTCAACAGCCAACCTGGCAGCTCCAAGCTGGGAGGGGCAGCCCTGCTCACCGCTCGTCGGGAGGAGGCAGATGGTCCAGGTGGTCCTCGCTCACGTACACGTGGCAGGTGGAGCATGCCAGGGAGGCTTCACAGGCCCCTGGGGATAGCAAGTGAAGGGAGCATAGGTAAGGGGCATGGTTAGGCTGGTGCCATCCGTGAAAGACATAATGCACAAGCCCTTTGTTTCACCACGTGCCTCTCATCTCCTGGGCCTGCACACCGTGTGCACCCTCCACCCTGTCATTTACTCAGCTAGCTGTTCCCGAGCTGCAGGCAGGTTTTGCAAAAGGATATGACTCTTCAGCAGGCTGAGGACCAGTCTGGGTACATGGAACCATTAACGAACATGGACTTGAAGTCAGTGTAACTGAGAGGGGAAAGGCCAAGCAGGTTCCCTGTAGCCTGAGTCCTAGCTGTGACTCTTGTCATTGTGCTGGGCAAATGTGTTCCCCCTCCCTTCTGCTGCTGAAGGAGGGACTGGTTCACTCTGCACCTAGTGCAGCAGGGGAAGGAGTCAAGGAATAAAGGTTGAAAGATGAAGAAGCTGGGGTTTTGATTGCCCCGGAAACACTCCCAGCCTTCTGACTGATGACAGGCCATTTGGGGATAATGTCCCTCCTGTACTAAAACCTTCCAAAGGGTTTTCAAAGCCAGAATAAAATCCAATCTTCTCCACTCAGTCCTGGTGATCCTCCTATTCATTCACTCACTCCATATCAGCCACATCAGCCCCCTTGCTCAACTCCAACATCACAGGACTTTTACACTTGCTATACCCTTGGCCTAGAGTGTTCTTCTCTCCACTATTTCCATGGCCAGGTCTTGTCTTTGGTGACTCAACTGTCTTCCAAGTCTCCCATCTCCTGTTTCTTGTCCTACCCCCTGCCTTGTTAACTTATTAACTTCTGTACAGCATTTATCACAGATATCATCTTAGCCTCTGGGTTTACCTGTCCCCCATCCACCTGCCCTGAGCCTGGCATGTTGTAGATGCTCAAGAGACACCTGTTATAAGTGAATGATGGGGCAGAATTTGGCTTTTTCTTCCAGACATGTCGGACAATTAGGGTGGAGCTGCAAGGCACCCTCCTGACTCAGTAGAATCTCCCTGTCTCCTGGGGAGAAACTTGGTGTTGAAACTCCATGTAGTCCCTGGCATCTCTTCCTCGGCCCTGTCTTCTACCTCATTAGCAGCCTCATCCTTTGAGATAGAGATAATCTAATATAAATGTTGCCAATTAGTCACCGCACACTAACCATGTGCCAGGTATTAAGCACTATGCATGATAGCTGTTTAATCTTCTATATCAACCCAGAAAGATGGAACTAAATTATTCCATTTTATAGATGAGAAAATAGGCCCAGAGATGCTAAGTACCTTGCTCAGGTCACACAGCAGTAAGAGGCAAAATTTGAACACAGGTCACTTGCCTCTAAAACTCATGGTCCAATCTCTGTCCTGAACTACCAGCCACTGGATTCCAGACCAAAATTTGAGGCAGGCCTGCCACGAACACCCCCAACATCTCCATCCCCTCTAATGATTAAATCAGACTCCCTGTTACATTCACACAATAAATAATCCTTTACATTTTTTTTTCAGACCACTCTTTTCATTTGCTGATGATATCATTGTAAATCTACTGCCTATTAGGTTGAAATTGGTGTGAAATGACAGGGGCCTTATCTATTTTGTACATTGCTGCCTGGCACGCAGTAGGTGTTCAATATTCATAGAAGAACAGCACAGATTAGTAGTTAAAATAGTCTGGGTTGAATCTAATTTTGCCACTTCACTTTGGACCAGGTCTACATAACGTAGGGCTCAATTTCTTCACCTGTAAAATGAGACAAACTCCTCTACTGCATAAAATTGTCATGGAGAGCCAGTTAGTTAATATGTGTTAACATGTTTAAAGTAATGCCTGCTATCATTACCTTTCCTTCACCAAAAACTGATTTAATACCTGTTGCATCTAAATACCACGATGAGCAACAGATACATGTGAACATGGCAAACATAGTTTCTGATCTCATTCTGGGGAGGGATGACAAAGAAGGAAAACAGTGAGAAGAGCTATGAGGACAATAAAACACACTAATATGACAGAGACACTGGGGCATGGGGACTTTAACTTGGTTAAGGGGGATTAGATTGCCAGGAAGATGACATTTACATTGAGACTTGAGGATGAGAATAAACCAGATCTCTTGGGAAATCGCTTCAGATGCAGGGAGTAGCAAATGTAAACCTCTGAGGCAGAAATGAATTTGGTGATTTGAGGAATAGCAAGACAGACAGTGTGGCTAGAATTGAGGAAGGAAGGAGAACAATACAACCTCCCATAGGGCAGGAGTTTTAGCAACCTCAGGTTAAATGCTCAATAAACAAATGCTGAGGGAATGAAAGTTAAGAGCTGGGCAGAGGATGAGGCAGTGGTGAGAAGTCTGGATTTTAGTCCATGATTGGTGAGAGGCCTTGGGAGAGTTAAGCTGTGGACAGACACATCTGATTTGTGGGTGGTTTTGTCCTTGTGTTTGTTTGTTTCGTTTGTTTTGTTTTAAACGAATGATAAGGGCCTCCCACCTTCCAGGTCCACCCCATGGCGCTGGGCCAGGTGGAGAACATTGTCCCCGACTCTGCCGCTCACAGGAATCCGTTGGCCTGACCGGTCTACGAACACCACGTTCACCCTGGGGACAAATGGAGGCGGAAGCCGAAATGGATAATGGCCCGCGCGTCAGGTGGAATCAAGGGTTAGGAAGTCGGGCTTGGGCTTAACGGACAAGGAAACAATGCGAAGGAGAGGGGGACCCAAGGATCGAGCATCGGAGCAAGGTGGGAACCATAGGAACCTCGTGGGATGAGGAATGGGGGACTTGGCCCCCCCTCCACTCACACGTCCCCGGGCTGATCCGGACCGCTGGCGTCTTCCTCTCCCGCCGGGTGCGAGCCTGGAAAACACGGTTGAGTGAGCGGACGCGCCGAGCCCAGCCGGCATTCGACGGGTTAACGCTGCTCCACCCCGTTCTCCCAAAGCGCGGCGGGTACCTGTCGCCCGGAATTTTCTGGCTGTCGCTGGCGCCGCGGCCTCCCCGGATCCCAAAAAGCTCCCGTGCCGGCTCCACCAAGTGCCCCGCGCCACCCGTAGTAAGAACCCGGCATTCACGCCGCCCCGGGCCACGGAGGCCGCCATGACAGGCATCACGTGACCCAGGGACTGGGCATGCGCCGTGGGGCACAAACGCACAGAGAGACCATGATTGCCTCTATGTAAGAGCTGACGGATGCCTGGGTCTTGACTCCAGACTTGGTCTGTGGGCGAGTGGAGCGTAGCAGGCTCGAGCACACCAAGACCTGCGAGGGCATCCCAGACCACCCATCCAGGCCCACTGTTTGTCCCAAGAAACAGCCAGCTGTACTTTCTTTAAAACCATTTACTTACAAACTTTAATTCAGCAAAGGTCTGTGTGAGAGGACTGGGGAAGAGAAACCCCCTGAAGTGGATGTGGACCCCTAGAGTGAAGAGAGGGAAGCTGGTGGTCCAGCTGGCCAGGGGCAGGGGCAGAGCTTATCTGCATGGAGTTGCTGGATTCCCACTGGGCCCAAGGGAGGCTGGCTCCTGGGATCTGGCCTGGGGATGGAGTCAGCAGAGGCTCAGTACGATGCACAGTGCCCCATTCCCACAGACAGCAGGAGGACTGGTTTAAGCTGGCAGAGAAAGCAGGTCTCTGCACCTCAGCCTGGGCGGAAGGGATGGTGGGGGTTGGCTTGCCAACCCAATCCCCACGGCAGAGCCGTTTGGTCCTGAGTCAAGCTTCCAGAGCTCGGCATCTGAGAGGCTCTGGCCATGGGGCCCAGCTTTAAGGCATCAGATGGTGAGGGGACTGTGGGAGAGAGCAGGGGACCCAGTGCTGGAGTACAGGTCAGAGTGGGCAAGCAAAGGGAGGAGAGAGCCATGTCTGCAGCAGACATGGGAGAAAGAGGAACGGGCTTAGCTGTTTCAAACTGATGTGTGGAATGGAGGCCCAGACATACTGGACCTGGTAGGAATGAGAGCTAGGGGTCATCTTGGATTGCTTAAAAAATAATAAAAATTAGAAAAGGAAACAAATCGTCAATCGTCAAAGTTAAAAAAGGGGGACAGTCTCTGATCCTCACGGGAGGTCAGGGAAACCTCCAAGGCACTCAAAAGGCCAAGAAACAGGAGCGACGAGGCAGGAGAGAATCCCAGAGAGGCAGATGCAGGCAGACATGGAAGGGGAGAGAGGGGCCCCAGCCTGCTCTCTCCTTCTTAAGGCTGCAGGGTTTCCATGCCGGGAGCAGGCCCAAGATGCAAAGTGGCCCCGAAACTCCCCCACGCTCATTGGGCTCCGGCTGGGTTGGTCAGCAAAGTCTTTCAGAGATTTTTCTATTTCCGGGAAAAAAAAAAAACAAAAAACAACCCACTAAACAAAACACCAGAAAACCCAAAAGCCATTCGGTGCAGGCCCTGGAGCATCTCTGGCACTGGCCCCTTAGAAAATCCTCTTGCGTTTCAGGTAGGAATCTGCGTAGTGGCCACCAAGGCCCTGGGAGTGCTGGCCCACATAGCTGCCTTCTGGGCTGGGCTCTGGTGAGGGCAGCAGGTGGGCAAAGCTGCGTTTCTGGCCACCCAGTGGGGTCTGGAGAAAGAGGGAGGGACAGCGGGTCAGGGGCCACCCAAGGGCCACTGTTCCCTAGCCCTATGTCTCCACCCCGACCTGTACCTTCAGCAGGTGGCTGTGGCCATTGGGCCCAGGGCCGAGGCCTAGGAGCCCTTCTCCGGAGCTCAGTGGGGAAGAACTGACCGCCTGGGAGAAATGGGAGAGAGGTGGGATGGGAAAGGAATATCCCCCCCAAGCAAAGGCAGATTTCAGGTTCAAATCCTACCTCTGCTGCTTACTAGCCATGACACTGGGGGCAGATTACTTCCTCATTCTGAGACAGTTTTTTCATCTGTCATCTGGGGCTAATACCACCCACACTCTGAGCTGCTGGGAAAGGAAGCAGAGGTCCACAAAGCTAGGCAGCACCAGGTGCGAGACACACAGGTGGGGGAGGATGGCCTATTTCAGCTCAGCCCTGAGCAAAGCCGACCCCTGGCGCCACCTCAGCTGTGGCTTAGGTCACAGGGTCCCCCTGCACCCTGGCTGTCCCTGGGAACCTGTGGTCAGCTGGGGAGGCGCCTCACCTTATTAAGGTGGCTCTGCTTGAGGCCAGCCTGCAGGCCGCTGGTGAAGTAGGAAGTAGGTGAGCCCGAGTAAAAGTGAGAGAGGGGTCCCCCACCGCCTCCACCACTCCGTTCGGTGAAGCCACTGGGCGGAGGAGACATCTGCAGAGAGGGGGTCGACTGAGTGATGCACACTGCTGCAGTATCCACCCCCTTTTTTAACCTTCCTCCAACAAATAAATCTGAACTTTGCCATGTGACTAGATTTGGCAAATAGCACAGTAGCATGGCAATGTAAACAGAGGTGTCTGCCCTCCCTTCTGCCTCCTGGGAACCTTGGGACCACTACCATGTGCATGAGGGCAGGCTGGCCTGCTGGAGGGTGAGCTCCATGTGGAGAAGCCACAGCCGAGGCCCTCAGCTAAGGCCCCCTCACCACTGTACTGCCTGCCAGATATATGACTAAGGCCACTGTGGACTGCTGAGCCCCAGCTGAGCTGTCAGGTGACTGCAGAGAACCATCCACCCACTGCCGTGCAGAATGGTGCAAAATAATAAAACGTTTGCTGTTCTAAGCCACAGTGGTGGAACTGCTTGTTACACAGCAAAAGCTAACTGATACACCCAGAAGGTGGGGTGGGATGGACAGGGTGGCTCTTACTTTGTGTCGGCTGGGGCCATGAGGCCCAAGGGCTGGCTCCCGTGGGTGGGAGAAGAGCCGCCGAGGTCCCACATCCTAAATCAAAGCGGGAGAAGCATGTTGGGTTGGAGTCTGCACCAACCTCACCTCCAGCTGAATTCCCCAGCACAGTTGTCATCAGGGAAGTCTGCCCCTTCCAAAAGAGGGCAAACCCTAGTGAATGGGTTTGGTCTGCTGGGTGGGGCAGTGAGACAGAATGTGCCCTGCCCCAGGCGGTGGCTGCACCTCAGACCCAAGATGACTGCTATGAAGGCATGTGGCCACAATGGGGCCAGGTGTTTGGGTTTTCAAGGCAAGCCGGGCATCTGCGTTGTGCGAACGCTTACGGTGTTTATATGTTGGCATTAGCGTTTATTTCAGTTATTTTTTTTATAATCCAGTGTGAGTCAAACAACACAGGTGGACTGTGGTGGTCACTCTGCAACATCTGACCTGGAAGATGTTGGAGCAGTCATAGAAGGAGCAGTTCTCCATGGAATGAAACAGGAATTTCAGACGGGAGAAGGGGGAGAAGGGCAGGCAGATAGGGGGCTGAGCCCTGTCTCTAAAGAGAAGCAGCGAGCGATACAGCCTAAGGACTCTTCAGAGAGAAAGGCAGACAGGAAGCAAGGTCTCATGTGCAGAGATAAACAGACAGGAGACTGAAAGACAGGGACCATGTTCACATGTTCCCTGCTGTCTGCCTAGCACTTGGCCCGGCACAGTCAGTACTAGAAAAATATTGGTTTGGAGAATGACTTGGTCCCAGGAGACAAAGGACCACAGCAGCTACAGGGCTGACCACAGGGTAGGCAGGTACTCACCGAGGGGTAGTCAAAGCCATAGCTATCAGGAAGCCCTGGTTCGGGGGGCAGGCGGGCGCTGGTGAGAGGGCTGAGCAGGCGGGACTTGAGTTGGAAGGCTTTGCTGCTGCCACCACCTCCAGGGGCTGGGGGGTTAGGCAGGGGGCCCTCAGCTGGGCGGCGGCTTCTCCCAGTGCCTCCCCAGCCACGGGCCTCCTTACCCGCCAGGTTGCTGGCTGGGAGCAGGCTGTGTAGGTTCAAGTAGGGGTTCAGGGGGATCCGGAAGTCCTTGGGGGGCTCCCCCAGCAGTGAGACCTGTGGTGGGAGGGCTGGATTCGTGAGGGCCCCTGACAGAGGGAAAGTCACAGGGCAGGAGGCTGGAAGGGTGCTAGGTGCAGGGTGGGGCCTTACCCCAGGAGGCGTTGGCAGAGGCCCACTGTCTTTCTGGAGGCCTCTGAGGCCAGTGCCTAGGAGCCCCACAGGGGCAGGGGGTGGAGTGAGCTGGGCTGCTGGGGGACCCAGACTCATGGTTTCCCGGTCACTCCCAGAGGGGCCAAGCAGTGGTGGCAGCAGGGGTGGTGGCTTCCCTCGGCGGGGTGGCAGCTCCGGGGGCAGGGCCCCCCCTACAGAGAGAGAAAGGTGTCAGCAGCCCAACCGTACAAGACCCTTCCTCTCAGGGTCCTCGAGCCTTTGCTTGGACCAAGTCGGCAGCTACATGCTGGGTACTGAGCAGAGCCCTCTAAGCACATCAACTACCAGTATGCTCATGAAACCCCAGCAGGTGGACACCCAATTAATAGATGGGATACTGAAGACCCATAGATGTTAGGTCACTTGCCTAAGGCCGCACAGCTGGACATTTATCACACCACGTGAGGAAAGGGGAAGCAGGAGGGGCCGAGAAAGATGATGAGGGGACAGGTCTGTGTTACCTGCAGACAGCTCCCCAAGGAGGGGGTTGGCTGGCTGGGCCCCGGGCTGGAGGGTGCCCAGGGGAGAGTCTCCCAGGATCCCAGGCTTCTGGGGACAGAGCACAATCATCTGAAGATGGGGGCAGTAGACAGGCATTGCCCAAGGTCTCGGGAGTCACAATGCCCAGCACACCCAGAGTCTAGCCCACAGGCGGTCACATGCAGACATGCAGTGTCTTCCAGTGTCTGCGACACCCTGGCCATTACCCATCCAGTCAGCCAATGGTGACTAAGGGCCTCCTGCATGTAAGGGCCCACCCAAGGCCTTGGAGAGACCCAGGGAATACAGACTTAGCATGTCAGGGCCTATCACCCCACACTGTCTGTTACTGTCAGACATATACAAAGTGATAATCAGTTCTCACTGATTATCACAGAAGCACAGTCACTGCTAGCCACACAAGGGTGCAAGCTCACAACCTCCTTTCTGTCAGTTACCATCAGACATACGCATATCACTGACTTGGCCCTAATGAATCAAACCAGACAGGGCAGTGCATGTGTGTGTGCGCATGTCTCCCCGTATATGTCTGTGTGTACAATAGTACACTGAAGGTGGTACGGTGTGTGTGTGTCTATTTGTGTGTGTGGGTGTATCTGTGTGCATTGAGAGGGTGGTGTGGTGTGGTGTGTCTATTTGTGAGTGTGTCTATTTTTGTGTCTCTATGTGTGTGTGCTGAGAGGATGGGGCTAAGACTTTCTTCCCTGGACTGAATGACTTCCTGAGCCCTGAGTACCTGCGACAGGCCAGGACCCATTTTGAGCCCCAGGGACACAGCCAGATGGTCCACAGCCCGACCAAAGGTGAACCACTGGCAGGTGCGAGTCGCGCGTGAAACTTAAAGAGGCTGCAGGAGTGCGTGTGGGTGCGGAGGGAGCCTGGGGCCCACTACGGTTACCTTCTGCCCCTGGGTCTGCAGGGCCAGCTGCAGCAGCGCCGTGGACAGGGCGGGCCCGTTGAGCAGCGGCATGGCGGGGGGGGCACCCAGGAGACCTGGAGGGAGACCTGGGAAATGGGCAGGGGTCCCTGGATGGAAGCAACTCCCCACCCCCCCTCCGCCCCCGCAGTTGCACAGCCCTGGGCCTGAAGCTCAGAGAGGACAAGTGACTTGCTGGAGGAATGGCCCGGGAAGGGAGGGTCAGCTCAGGGGAAGAAGAGCCCCTCTTTCCACCACCCTGCCTCACTACAGACTGCAACGCTCCCACCTGTGACCCCTCACGGGTGACTTCCACTCTCATCCCAGCCCTTGCTCATGGGGCTCGTGTCACTGGGAGCTCAGATGAGAACAGTCTTGGAAAGGTGCCCAGTTCTGAGAGGCTGGGGACCCTGCCCGCTGCCACTTGACCTGCCTTACCCTGCTTGCCCCCCGCGTTGCCATGAAGCAGGGGGTTGAGCAGCAGCTGGAGGGAGGCAGAGGGCCCCAGGCTGTTGAGCAGCTGCAGGATGTTGGGTTCAGGCAGGAGCCCTTTGCCCCGATTGAGAGCCTGAGGAGAGAAACGGAGGGTGGCTCAGAGCCCTGCCTGGCCAGAGGTGGGGCGTCATTGCTCCCTACTGATCCCAGAGCCTGGCTAGTGCCCACCAGGGGCCCTGATTTCTTGAGGGAGGAGGCCCAGGCCCCTTACTCCCTCATCCCCACCCCCCAGGCATGCACTCACTGTGGCCTGGGCAGCGATGAGCGCAGCCAGCATGCTGCGACCAGGGGGCCCTGGGGCGCAGAAGGAGACACGCAGGTGGCTGCCTCCCAGGGCCAAGCCGTCCGCCCACTGCTGTGCCTCTTCAGCCATCTCAGCCGTCTCATACTCTAGCACGGCGAAGCCCTTCAGCTGCCCATCCTGGCCGTACGCTAGCTGGGGTGGGGAGGGGAAGACAGATGTGAGTGCCCAGGGGGCAGTGACCACTCTCAGAGTGACAACAGTGAACAGATGTGGATCCCGACTGTGACAGCAACCCCTCTAGAGGGGGTATATTCTGGGCCCAACAGTTCCAAGCCCTGTTCCTACATTAGCTCACTGCATCTTCTCAGTGGCCCTGGAAGGCTGCATCCTACCCATTTTTCAGAGGGGGCAACTGAGACTTAGAGAGGTCAGCACATTCAAGGTCACACAGTTAGTGGAAGGGTGGAGCTGGGACCCACCTCACAACTCCCTTGGACCTCATGCCAACACCACTTTGGGACTCTGATTGGGATTCCCAAGCGTAGCAAAGGCACAGAGATGGGACTGGAGAACTCAGGTTGCAGGGGTGGGAGAAGGAGGGGCTGGCTGAAAAAGAGTCGGGTGGCTTTGGAGGCCATCAAATAAGGAACCTCAGGCCGTGGATACTGCAGCCATGGCTAGGAAGATATACAGCCTAGGAACGAGGCAGGTGACCTCTGAGCTCTGGTTGGAGGCTGGTAGTGAGCCATGGGAACACAGGTGTGGGAACAGAGGTGTTGTCATGGGCAGGCCGAGGAGGCTTCTCGACCACCCTTGATCATTTGGTACTTCAGACCCATAGTCTCTCCTCCAGACCCTTGGGCCAGATGTGTTCCAGGACTGAGATTTTGGAGATGAGAAGTAGAGAATACCACACATACTGTATATTACATCTCAGTTTCCCCCAGTGGGGTCCAGGGCTCCCTGAAAATCAAACACAAATAACTCTGCAGCAAGATGCAGAGGCCACAGATGGCCCCACATCAGTTCTTTGCTGGTGAGCCTGCCACTAACTCGGGAAACAAACCTCTTGGTTTTCAGGGCACAGTGGACGCTGGAATTGTGGGTGGGGGCTGTCTCAAAGCAAGCCCTTCACTGAGTCCAGATGCAGGCATTGTCAACAGACCCATTTTGCAGATGAGAAAACTGAGACTCAGAGAGGGGAAATCTTGCATACCCAGGCCACAGAGCTGGAGCTGGGATCAAATAAGGAGAGGCTGACCCCCTTAATGGAACTGGCCACCTCAGTATGGCGATGGCTGTCCCAAGAACCAGCATCATTCCTCTGGGTTCCAAGTGATGCACGGACAGCTGTGGCATGGTCTAGAACTAATGCAATGTCCACCCGCAGGGAACAGCAGAGAGTCCATAAAATGGAATATGGTGCATCCGTAAAAAGAATAAAAAAAAGCTCTCATGTCTCAACACAGAAAGATGCCCAAGACAAAGTGAGCGGAAAAACCAAACCAACGCAGGCATGGTAATAATTGGGTCAAGAAAAGATGAATGCAAAAAAAAAAAAATAGAGAAAAGAGGAATGCAGGAACATATACATGAACTTGTTGCAAACAGATAATAAAATCTTGCTAGAACACAGCAAACTGGCGTGAGCAGGGGCTGCAGGAAAAAGTGCTGAGGGGCTAGGAAGAAGCCTTTACCATGGAACGTGTTGAATTTCCAAACAAGATTGGACTGCCCATTCAGAAAATAAAAACAGAAAAGGCTTTTTATAACACACAGGTCTTGTGAAACCTGCTTTGAACATCTATAGCATTCATCTATTTTTAAGCAGCTTCCTAATGGAATAAAGCAGTTACCAAGAACCAGCATCATTCCTCTGGGTTCCAAGTGATGCACGGACAGCTGTGGCATGGTCTAGAACTAATGCAATGTCCACCCGCAGGGAACAGCAGAGAGTCCATAAAATGGAATATGGTGCATCCGTAAAAAGAATAAAAAAAAGCTCTCATGTCTCAACACAGAAAGATGCCCAAGACAAAGCGAGCGGAAAAACCAAACCAACGCAGGCATGGTAATAATTGGGTCAAGAAAAGATGAATGCAAAAAAAAAAAATAGAGAAAAGAGGAATGCAGGAACATATACATGAACTTGTTGCAAACAGATAATAAAATCTTGCTAGAACACAGCAAACTGGCGTGAGCAGGGGCTGCAGGAAAAAGTGCTGAGGGGCTAGGAAGAAGCCTTTACCATGGAACGTGTTGAATTTCCAAACAAGATTGGACTGCCCATTCAGAAAATAAAAACAGAAAAGGCTTTTTATAACACACAGGTCTTGTGAAACCTGCTTTGAACATCTATAGCATTCATCTATTTTTAAGCAGCTTCCTAATGGAATAAAGCAGTTACGATATGTAAATTGTCCTGTAAATAAATGACAAAATGCATTAGAGTGCGTTGCTATAGGATCTTCTTGGCAGTCTCATCTTGATTATGTTAAAAATAAAGGACCCTCCAGGAGGGCAGCAAACTTCCAGCTTGGCATCCAGCCATCTTAGGAGGCAGGGGCACCCAGTTATGAGTGTGACCTTGACTCCCAGCCTACTCTAACTGGCTGGCTAACCTGGGCAGATCTCTGCATATGCCCATCTCTGGCCCTTGGTTTCCTCATTTGTAAGATGGGGCAACAATTGTACCCACCTTGGTGGTTGTGGGGATTCAATAAGATGCTCAACAGGGGCAGGGAGGCACAGCAGCTCAAAGAGGCTGTTGGCCAGGGCTCAGAACATGCTCTGAGTGCCCAGGCAGGGTGGGCTGTCTCTATCAGCTCACCTTTGGCCACGCCCCATACCAAGTCCCAGACGACATCTTCTTACAGATAAAGAGAGAGAGACTCAGAAGGGTCAAAGGGCAACCAGGGTGGCTTGGCTCCTACATAGTGGAACTGAGGCTCAAACCTCAATCTGTCTGACTTTGGAGCCCAGCCTCCAATCAAGCAGGGCGCCTAACTTAAATGGAGAAATGAACAGACTTTCACAATAACCCAACACAAAGCACTGCTAACCCCATTTCCTGATGGAGAAACTGAGGCTCAGAGAGAGAACTTATAGTTGGTTGTGGCCTTGCCATCCTCAACCACCATATAAGGAGGTGGCTGCCAAGCTAATTCATCTATGTCTTGGGCCCCGCCCAGGGCCTGGCATGAAGTAGGTGCAGGAGCATGAATGAACCCTGAGGGAGCAAGGAGAGGGGTCCTACAGATGTCTGACTTCCCAGGCCCTAACATCTATTTATACGAGAAGGGCAGGTCCCATCCAAGACCACAGAGCTGGGGTCTGAGCGAAGTAACATCCTTCTCCAGGCTGGCCTGCGGCTTTGAAGCCAGAATGCAGTGTTCCAATCCTGGTTCTGCCATGACCTGGTTGTATGACTCTGGGGCATATCCCTTGACCCTTCTGTGCCTCAGCATCCCCATCTGAAAATGTAGATAATACCTGCCTCTAAGGCTGTTACAGGATAATGGGACTAAAGGAACTGTGTTCAGAATCCAGTAAGTGCTGAAGGAATGTCTGCCCTGGGGGTCCGTAGGCAAGAACATCTGGTGCTTTCCTTCTGAGGGCTGGATCTGGCCCAATGCGCCTGTCACAGGGCTGAGCACACATAGGGAAGTGCCTGACAAATGTAACTTGGATGAACCAGTGCTTGTCTTTATAACCAATGGGTGAGGATCAAATCCCTTCTTAAGAAGGAAACTGAGGCTCAGTCACCAAGTGATGTGCCCGGGGTCACAGGGCAGGGCTGGGACCTGGTCAAGTCTGCTTCCTGACCTGAAGGCTTACACAAACTGTGGGCTTCTCCAGAGCAGCCTCAATGCCAGACCTGGGACCTGGAACCTGGAACCTGGAACCTGGAACCCAGTAGTTGCTCAACGAACATCTGATGCATGCAAGGAGTGAAAGTGAATGAGGGGTGAACGAGGCTCATGCCCAGCTTTTACAAAGGCAGCCTTTCCTGCACTTCACAGGAGACTGAGGCCAGAAAGGTTAAGCCAGTCACCAGAGGGAGCACAGGAATTCAAACACCAGTCATCTGGCCCTTGTCTGAGCTGGCATCCAGTGAACCATGTGACCTAGCAAGAACCCTATTCAAAGTGTTGTTGAGGCTTTACTGAAAAGGGACCCAGGAGATTAGAGAGGGTGGGTGACTCCAAAGGTGCTCTGGGCCTGGCACCTGCTCTCCAGACCCCTACTCTGGGCATAGGCTCACCTGACAGAAGGTTGGAATGTGGACAGCTGACAGTGCCCGGCGCAGGGCGTCCACATCACTGAAGCCGGGTGGCAGACGGTCAACACAGAGGCAGCGGGAGTGGAGCAGGGCAGGCGTCAGCTGCCCCGCGTCTGTCCAGTGCACGTAGAGGGTGCGTGGGCCCAGTGGCTTGCCTAGCAGGTCCGACTTGGCGCGGGCAGCCGAGTCCTTCTTCATGTACTCAGCGAAGCCATAGCCCTTGGAGTGGCCAGTACGCTCGCTATAGACCAGGAAGCAGCGCTCCAAGCTGCCAAAGGGCCGTACCAGCTCCTCGAACTGCTGCTGCGTGAGGCTAGGAGGCAGGTTGGCCACGCAGAGCAGGGCATCCGTGGGCTGCAGCTGCACCGACAGCTCGCGCTCCCGCAGGCGGCTCTGGTGGAAGGTGCTTATGGCGGCTTCGGCCTGCTCCCCATTCAGCAGAGTCACAAAGGCTGTAGCAGGAGGGGGCGTGGATCAGCGGGAGCCCTGAGGGCCTGCCCTTCCACCCCATGGCAGTCTACCCCACCTCCCTCTAAACTATGTGTAGCCTGAGAATAATGACCAAATAGGATGTTTCAGGCCCAACTGTTGGTCAGTTGCCAGCCTTGAACAACTCGCACAGGTGACTCCTACCTCCAGGAGGCCTGTTTCCTGCCCTCACCCCTGCCCATTCACAACTCACAGCAGCACTCCCCTACCCGTGAGCTCACCTAGCCTCTTACCTACTGTGCACCTGCTTGGTGACACATAGGAACTATGTGCATAACGTGAATGACACATAGGGCAGTAGTTAAGCATGTGGTCACTGGAGCCTGGGTTTCAACTCTAGCCCGATTGGCTTTGGGGTCCCAGTTTCCCCACCTGAGAATGAGAATAACTTACTCCTCATAACCAAATGAGAATAACTTACTCCTCATAACCACCATTGTGTCAACAAGGAAATGAGTCCAGAGCAGTGACTCCCTGCCTTAGCAGAGGAGCCTGGACTTGAACCCAAGCAGGCGGACTCCAGAGCCCTGCTCTTCACCCCTTCCTCACCGCCTTTCCAGGCCTCTCGCATCTAAGCCCCTACCTCAGCCTCAGTCCTGCAGCCGCTCTTGGTTTGCTCTCTCCTCAAGGGCCACAGGGAGCTTTTCAAAATGATAATCAGATTGTGCCATGCCCTTGTCCAAGGGCTTCTCACTGCAGGTGCCAGGGGAGCCTGTGTGGCCTGGCCCCATGGTCCTGCTGACCTCCTCTCCCATCTCTTGCTGCTACTTACTGGACCATGCCAGGCATATGCCCCTTGGGCCTTTGTACCTGATTTTCCCTCTTCACCTGGTTAACCCTGGCCCACCCTTCAAGCTAACTGCAAACATCACTTCCCTCTTGAAGCCTACCCTGACAGCTCTGGGCTCCCACAGCACTCTGTAGCCTCTGGTCCCATGACCACTTCACCTTCATGTCTGCAGTTGTCTGAATAACAGCCTCCTCCCCAGAGTAGACTGTCTCTGGTTGGTTCACAGCTGTGTCCTCATGGCCCAGCACATACTGATGCTCAATAAATATTTATTAAAAGGCAACATGAAAGAGTCACTTAACCTCTGGATCAATGCCTGACACATATACATATGAAATGCTCAGTATATAGTTGATCTATTGCCCCTGCCAATGTTTACTAAGCACCTACCAGGTACCAGGCACCTTTTGAGGTATTTTAAGGTGTTTGGCCTCATTGTCACCCCAAGCAGGTCATGCTCAATTTGCTGGTGAGAAAACTGAAGCTCAAGAAGGGTGAATCACTTGTCTATGGCCACAGAGTGAGGACAGACCATGACTCAAACCCAGATCCATTTGCCTCTAGGGCCCAAGATCTTAACTACTACCCCAACTACCAGGTAGGTCTCGAGGAGCCACCTGTCCTCACCTCCTTCTTACTCATGTTACAGATTGCAAGCAAAAGCCCTGGAAAGTCTGAATGCCCAGTACAATGCCTGGAGGGCACAGACACACACTGAGGGCCTCCCACATGGGAGGCAGGGGTGGCCAAGGATGACAAGACCTGTCCCTAGTCTCACTCAGTGCAGGAGGCAGGTGAGTGAGCCAGCAATGACAGCCCAGGGTGGTCAATGATATGATGGGAGAGGGTGCTCAGGGAACTGTGAGCTGTGCCTGCTGCTTTCTGGATGGAAGAAGAGATAGCTAAGAACAGTGGCAGAGGGAACAGCCTAAAAGCTTATAGGCACCCAAGGAGATGGCAAGGCTGGGCCACATCCTTGCAAGATAGTGTCAAGAGAAACGTCAAGGAGGTTTTGAGGAGAAAGAATGATCAAGGTTAGAATTAGGTTTGATCAGATTTGCAATCAGACTGATTAGATTTGATCAGCCCTGGCTGCCTGGGGGAGGGCAAGCACGGGCGTGAAATCATGGAGGCCAGAGAGGCCAAAGGGAAATCATTTTGGCAGAGATGGAGGGGCACCAATTGTTCTAGAAGGCATGAAGACCAGACAGGACTGAGTGACTGGCTGGCTGGGAGGCATGGTGTGGGAAGTGGGAGAGCCCAATGCTCAGGTATCTGGCTGAGCAGACTGGAGAAGGAACATCAAGGATGTCCCATGATGGGCGCCCAGGACAAGGGAAAGACTGGGGCAACAGTCTGTCCTGTGCTGGCCTAGGGACAATGTTGGGCCCAAAGTTCAGGAGAGGAGACTGGGCCAGAACACTCCCAGGTTCGGGGACTGTCAGCCCTTGCCACTAGCCCACCCCACAGCCCCACAAACCTGTCCCTTTGTATTTGTCCACAAAACAGTACTTGAGCTCATAGTCGCTGAGCAGGTCGTGCACTTCCTGCGGAGACAGAAGCCAAAGGACAGGGAGTCACCACCAGGGGCTTACGAGAACAATCCAGTGCCACATTCACTTGGACCAGTTATGAAAGTAGGTCAGTTACAAAGGAGGAAACTGAGGCTCAGATCAGTAACTTGCACAAGACCACTGAAGCCATACCTGGCAGTGGTGGCATTCAGAGTCCAACTGCAGACCCCATGCTCTTAACCAACACAACACACTCTTAGAGAGCCAGGTGGGTCCAAGTCCCAACTCTGCCATATGCCCCTAGGGAAGTTGTTTAACCTGTGTGACTCTCTGTTGGCCAGACTGACTCTTTCCAACATTACAAGTTAGGTTATTAACAAACCCATTTTCAGATGAGGAAACTGAGGCTTAGAGAAGTGAAGGAAGCTGTCGAAAGTCAGCAGCAGCAACAATGCCACCCAGGGGTACCTGACTGGGGACTCTGTGTACTTTATGCCCACATTTTGTGGCTTCATATAACTCCCAATTCCCTCTTGCCGACAGGGCTGCCTTCTTGCAAGCCAGCTGTGGGGGCAAGGTTCTGGGGCCTGCTTGTGCCAGACACACTGTGCACCCTGCAGGAGAGACAGCATGTTCTCAGCTGAGAGATGGCAGGCGCTAGGAGGATCGGCTCTAGAAACAAACCAAACCATGCTTGGTGGCACCCACCACAGATCTGTCCCCATGTCATGCCCCTCCCAACACTCTGGGACCCCACCAGCCATGTGCCCACATACAGGCAGAGTAAACCAGTGACAGATGTGCTGGTGGGCCAGAGAGCAGGAATTCTCAGCAACAGGAAGAAAGAACCCATTCCACCACTGCAGGGCAGGGCCGACCAGATGCAATCTCCTTGGGTCCAAAGAGCACTGAAAAGCCCTGTGCTATACAGGCCCCAAGAGAAGGGGACCCTTAGAGTGGGGGGTGGGGCTCCACAGGACACTGGTCCCTCTTTTCCTTCAGGTTTGTGGGCTGAGGGCAGGAGACCCCATTTTGTCAAATTAATCCTGGAGCTTTTGGGGAAGAGAGGCCCCAGGAGCTGCTACAACTTTCAGATCTATTTCTTAAGAGAAGTTAATAAACGCATGCTAAGGAAAGGCACACTCTAGCAAGCTCTGAAACTGCTGGTTATAAGGTCTCGCCACCCCATGGGACAGGAGAATGAGGAAAAATACAATCATAGCAGGGAGCAACTGGCGTCCCTATTTCCACAGTCCCAGTCTAGCTGCCCATACATAATCCCCCAATTTAGCCCAAACTGCCCGCCCCCTTTCATTCCCCGCCCACTTCAATCATTTGGTCTCGTCCAAGCCTGTGGTCGCCCCTAGCAACACCCTCCCACAGTCCAAAGTTGGTTTCTCCCTCCATCCACGCCCCCCCACAACCCGCTCTTGGTCTCTCCCAACCCCGCGTGGATCCCGACACTTCCCCCCGCGCCACGCCAGTGTTGGTGTTGCCCGGTTTCCCCCGCGCACGCGCACGATGGTATTTCCCGCCACGCTCCCACACCACCCCCCCATACCTGGTTGGTCACGTCCCCTGGGAGGCCCCGGATCAGTATCTTGCGGCGGTTACGGAACTGGCGCTCGGTGTGTTCCAGCCGTTTCCTGATCTCTTCTGGATCTAGCGGTAGCAGTTCTTCTTCGGGCGCCCGACGCTCCGCGGCATCGTCGGCTTCAGCCTCGGCCCCAGCCTCCGGGCTCAGCGGCGGCCGGTGAGTAACGGACACGTCGGCCGCCATCTTGGGAAACCCGACGCCTTCTGGGACCAGCGAGCCGGGGCGGAGCGGCATAGAGCGGCAATGAGGGCGCGTTCGCCTATTGGTCAGGATAGGCCCCGCCTCCTTCTCGACTCCCTCAGCTCATTAGCTAAAACCCAGCCCGCCTCTCAGAGTTCAAGCCCTGTCTGGGCGCCATAGCTACTTCCTCTTTCCGCTGCTGAGGTATCTCTCAAAGGACGCGCAGCACAGTGGCAGAACCTCTCAGCACAGGTGGAATCAAGCCACAGACTCCGGATTTTGAGGGATTTATTGTTGCAGAACCTGGGGATACAGCCAAACCCCTGTCTTTGACGTAGTACCCCGGTTGCTCGAGGCTCAGGATGGTTCCTCCCCCAGCGCCTCGTCGGGCTGTTTAGACGTCAGGGGCAACCAGGTGCTCCCCCGATTCACATGGTAGATGGCACTTTGCTTCTGCACCCAAAAGACGTACAGGAAGGCTGCGGTGACGATCGCGAAGCCGAGGATTGTTAACACCACCATGGCGATGGTGACGGAGAGAGGTTTCCGAACTGTGTAGAGAAGCGAGAAGTAAAAACTCGCACCTCGGCCCCTCCTGGGCATGCCCGTTTATCCCGGCGGCCCTGACTTGGCTCACCCTGAACGTTCATCACCACGGTCAGTGTCTGTGTGCCCTGTGAGCTGGTCGCTCGGCAGAAGTAGGTACCACTGTAGTTTAATGTGACGCGGAATGGGATCCCGACAGACACCTGGACCCCGGAGCTTTCCTGCAAACACAGTAGCTGGGGGTCCGGGTTGCCCTGCGCCTGGCACTGCAGGACATGGATCCTTCTTTCTTTCCACATCAAGTGCTGAGGACATCTGGCCGGGTCAATCTTGGGACCGTCTGTGGGACCACCAAATGATCAGACACACCCGAGGCACAAAGGGGTAAGGGATAATCAGTTCTTTCCAAACCAGGGAAGCAAGAGATTAAAGGTCAGAGTGATCTACTCACACAAGACACGCAGCTGGACGCTCCTATTCCTGTGCAAGATCATCCCATCCACCTCGAGGGTGGCTTTGCAGAAAAAACTGCGCCTGTCGTCCTTCTCCGTGGCGTTTAACTGAAACTGGACGAGCTGACCCGGGCCCTTGGCCGGAACTCCGTCCAGCGTGACCTGGACTCGGGGTCCGGCTGCGCAGGTCACATTCACTGTGGTCCCCTCAGGGACGGTGGGCTCGCTCAGGTTCATGATGGGTCCGCTCAGGTTCATGATGGGCCCCCAGAAGCCTAAAGGAGGGGCATTGCCCGGGAGTTTGCTGACCATGCCGCCCACTTCGGTCAAGCCCCGCCCTCCATCCGCATCTTTCAGAATACTCGGTCTAGGGGTATCCGGGCAGTGTCTTTTGTGTACTTTGCGGCCCCGCCCAACTTGGGGCACTCAGGTTATACTTTACGGGTTACTTAGGCCTCGCCCACGCTGCGAATCCTCCCACTCTGGCGTCCCAGGCCCCGCCTTTCCTGCTTCCCGTGTGCCGCGCCTCTGCGGCTAATGAAGCCCCACCCTCTTCTCTACAGCTGTTTTAAGCCCCGCCTGTTCTTACTATAAATTGTCAAGTTCTCTCGGATTTCCCGGCTCTCTCCCCCCAGGGTGACGTTGCAGACAATCTCCCAGGCGCCCTCCTCTGTGCTCGCTGTCGCGGTGGCGGTGGCGGTGAGCGTGTCCCCTTGGCTCGAGACGGAGGAATTCAGCATCTGGTCCCCCAGCGCCAGTTGGACGTGGGCCTCTGAGGCCGGAAACAGCCCATCCAGGGTGCAGTCTACAGGCCTGGATGTTCCCACCTCCAAGAACCGAGGGACAATGAGGCGCGGGGGCGTTACAGGCAAGACTGGGGAGAAGAGTGGGCGTGAGCTGGAGGTCTCACACAGACGTGGACACGCCTTTTCCTGTGATACACTCATACCCACCCCGAACCAGGGTCCCCCTTTCCCGGGATACCTTTTGGCCTGGATCACCCCCTTCCCACAACAAGCCCGCACTTAATTCTCCAAAGTCTTCATGGCGGGGATCTCCCATTTGAGGCCACCCCGCCCAGTGGCCAAGGGCGTGCCTTCCCACAAGCCCTTGAGGTCCAGGCCACCCATTCTCAGGAGCCCTGCTGCCAGGGCACTCCTTTGGCTCAGCTCCTCACCCAACACCGTCCACAGTTCTTCCCTCACCGAAGGTTCGGAGCTGCCTGGGGGCCGAGCTGTTCTGGAACAGCCCCAGCCCTTGGGGCCGCAGGTCCAGTTCCCAGCGGCAAGAGAAATTGGCACCGTGATCGTCTCTGCGTGCTAGCACTGTGGCCATGACCTCAGTAGACTCCCCCACGGCCAGCTGCCGACTTAGCTCCTCCTCCCCGCGGAGCAGCACCGCGGAGAGGTGGGCCTGGGGTGCCCCTCCCTCCACCTGGCAGCGCAGGGTGAGGTTTTCACCCACGGGCTGCCAGGGTGGCAGGGGTGCCAGCTCCACACGCTTCGGAAACCCTGGTGGGGGGGAGGGAGGGGAGAACAGAACTTAACAGCTAGACCTGCAGCCCCCACTCCTTGGAGTGGAGAGAGGCGGAGAGTGGCCCACTGCAGAACTGTGAGCTGAATTATCCTGGAGAGCTTAAACATGGGCCAGTGAAAGTGTTTGCTATTGTTATTAGCATCATGATTATTTCCTGTTTTGTCGGACACCTTGCCAGGTACTGAAAAAAAAAAAAAAATCTGCCGCTGCCAAGGATCTCACGGTTAAGAGAAAAGGAAGGACACTCACATTTATGACCTCTTATGATATTAATAGTAATTATAAAAGTTCTTATTTATTTAGAGCTTTCCTTAGACTTTTCAGGTGTCATTCAGTCATCCACCTTCATTCATGTAGCAACTGAGTAAAATTTTCTCTATGATTCCCTTTCGTGGATGGAGAAACTGAGGTCCAGAGAGGTGATCTGCCCAAGGGACGCACAGCCAGGAAGCCACAGAACCCGGGTTAGAATGTGGGCCCCATAAACCCCAGACTTGTGTGTCTACCTGCCTCTTTGATGTCACATCTAGGGACTCCCCTGGCCCTCCTCCCAGCTTCTGGCCTGAACTCTGGCCTTGGCCTCTCCCAGAGTTTGCGGCAGCCTCTCAGGGTGCTCTGGCACAGTCATGGGAGACTTGACAGCCCCAGGCTGGGTCCTCTCCCAGCTAGCTGCAGTGCCACTCAGGCACATGGACCTTGACCTCATGGGCACCACTCGCACTTGGAAACTCAAGCCTGGATCTGAAGCTGTCACACAGAGGCCCACAGACTGGATACTATGAAAAATAATATCTTACTATTTACAGTTTAGAATATTTAACAAGGATGCCTCTATCTTAACCTCGGGCACCGCTGGTCAGGGATAGTGGTATGCTGGCAAATGCTGGTAATGCTTGGGCTCTCAGAGAAGGGGTGGAGAAGCCCCAACAGGGAGCATTTGCCAATTTCTGTAGTGTAAATACTCCCACGATGGCTGATTACAAGCTGCCCAATGTGAGACAGTTGGGAAGAGATGAGTACAGTCAGATCTCATGAGCCAGGACCAATAGGCTCCCGCACATCACTTGACATAGGGAGGCACCTCACAGACACAGAACAGGGACACACACATAAGTGCACATATTACACAGAAATATACACAAAGACACGTATACATCAACACATACTGACACAACCATATATGCTCACACACACATAGGTCTGGATACCAACACATCGTCATCACCTATGGAGATACACAAGGGGGGAGACATACAGACACGGGCACACACTAACACAACATACATGTATACTCACACTGACACATAATGACATACATAACCTCACAGACACACATGTAGGTACACAAGTAGATGTGTATAGACACTGGTACCCACACAGGAGCATACACACAGTTGCACACGTACACTATGCCTATCTATAAAGGCTTCACAAAATGGTAGGCACCAGGAGTGATGTTTTCTGTTACTGTCTAGCCTGTCGTATTGTCTAAATGCAGAAAAACTTTTGGAAGGATCCACAAGAAACCAGTACCAGGGGAATAAATGGGCTGGGGAAGAAGATGTCACATGTTAAGAACAGGGCCTAGGGGGCTGGACTGCCAGCCTTTCTGCTCATGGGCTGTGAACCCTGGCAAGCGACTCCACCCCACTGAGCCTCAGTTTCCTCAGCTGTGAAATGAGGCCTATAAGTGCATCCCCATGAACCCTCCATACACCCCACCCAAACTGCTGCCTTGGAGCTTTTGCAAGGATTAAATGAGCACCTATGTGGGTATCAACACTTAAAACATTGGCCGCAGGCAGCAGCACTAGGTAAATGGAGATTTGACATACCTTTTTATACTTTTTGATTTTGGAACCCCATTAATTATTATTACCTGCCATAAAATACAAGTAATAATAAATGAAAGACATGAGCTACCATTTTTTAAATGTTTGCTGTGACACAAATAAATTGATTTCACACTACTGCCCTGGCATATGGTTGAGATGCACATCTGTCTGTGTCTCTGTCCGTCTCTCTTACATACACAAGCACTCACACTGCAAACTCAAGGCCCACCCTTGTGCCACTGGCCGTCCATCCCCACCACTGCCCGAGGCAGGCCCGACCTCCAGGCACACCCACTCACGGTATACTGTGATGTTGGAAGAGCCTGTTATCTGGGAGCCATTGCAGAAGACAGAACAGAGGACCTTGCTGTCACCAGTCACATTGTTGAGCTGGAAGGCTTCCCAGCCCAGGCCACTGCCCACTGTCTCCTTGAACAGGTAGGTCTCCAGGGTGATGGATTTAGGATGGGGGCAGTCTGTACTGCAGTTTACCAAGAGGGACCCTCCAGCAGACACCACCATGTCCTGGGGCTCCACCTGCAGTGAGAACTCCTGTCTCTGGGCACCTGGGGGAACAGAGGGAAGTTCTGCTTATTGATCCAGTGCCCTCCAGCCTACCCACCTTCAGGCCCTACCATCCATCAATTCCTTGGCCTGAGACATAATGGTCTCTGTCTTCATAGTGCTCTCAGTCCAGCGGGGAAAACATGCTAGATCAGGGGTGGGAAAGAGCTTGGAGGGAGGCCAGGGGAGACCATAGGAGCCTATAGGAGGAAGTGAGTCGGGGAAGCTTCCTGGAGCAGACCACTATGGCCAGATTTGAAGGGTAAGTAGGGTTAGCCAAGTGAAAGGGAAGAATGATTCTGGCAGAGGGAAGAGAGTAGGCAGAAGTCAAGGGTATAGATGGGACAGAGAGTTGGGGGTGTGGGTGGGACAAATCACATGCAGGGACAGGGCCTTAGGGAGCCCAGAAGGCTGAGTGAAGGAATCTCAACTTTCCAGGACACTGGTGAACTCCCTGTCAGATCTGAGTTTAAAACAGTGTTTGCAAAGAACCACAGCAGCAGGATGTGGGGATCTTTGATTTCTCCGTTCCCCTACCTCCTACTAGTGCCCCCAACTCCAGCCCTCCCCACCTTGACTGGTCTCACCTAGGGGCAGCAGACAGCAGACCAGAAGCAGGGAGATGAGTGGAGTCTGGCAGGCCCCAGGCAGTGGCTTCAAGGGCACCATGGTGGCCAGCCAGCCTGTGGAGGAAAGTGCCTTAATGTGGCACTGGGCAAGGCAGTGAGTAGGAGGAGGGACCGCCCAGGGGATGGAACGGAAGCACAGCCACAGCAGTTAAGATTGCAGACATCCAGGGCTGCACCTTGCCCAGGCCTGGGGAGGGGCAGAGGGGATACTCTGTGGCCCAGAAGGTCCAGAGTAGGGGATCCAGGTGGGGCTCAATGAGATGGAGGGCACTGGTGAATGTCCAAGAGGGTGGACCTCAGTTATACTGCTGGCCCCCAAATGAACCCACAGGAAATGCTAACACAATCATCTTTCTTTGTTCTCATTACTGAGGAACCAGGAGGAGGGGGTAGGCGGGAAGGGGTTGAGACACCTCCTTCCCATTGAACCTAGGTGAAGGGGGTGTTCTGTTCCTAAAGAAGCTAATGAGGGGGCCTCCAGACACCGTCCTTGAAATGATAAGGTGGGATTTCAAGGCAATATTTCAAGAGGACAATGGGGGACTTCTAGGCAGGGCCTCAAGGGGTTAGTGCGAGACCTCAACATTCTTAGAGGACAAATATTTGGAGGGGATAAATAGGGAACCCATAAGATGAGTGGAGCCATGAATATGAACAGAGCCCACATTTATTGGGCACCTGTGCCAGGCTCTGTGTTGGCTGCCAGAATGGCTCCTTTACATTTAAAGATCTGGGGGGGCGGGGTCTTTACATTTAAAGATCTGGGGGGGCGGGGTCTCACCACCTTTGAAGATCTTGGGAGATCCCTCCCATTCTCTGTGCACAGTGCTGGGGTGTTTGGGGGACAGCTGAATCCTGAGCTGTCTGTCAAGAATGCTACTTGTGACAATAGACTGGTGGTTACCAGAGGGTAGGGGTGGAGGAGGGATGTGGGAGGTAGATGGGGTAAAAGGGGTCAAATATGTGGTGACAGAAAGAAATCTAATTATGGGAGGGGAACACACAATGCAATATATGTGTATATTGCATTGTTAAGTTGTACACCTGAAACGATTTTGTTAACAAATTTTACCCCCCCCCAAATTTAATTAATTAAAAAAATAAAAAGAATGCTACTTGTAACTAGCCCTTACCCTTGTCCTCATTTCCCCTTGCCCTTCCCTCCAGGCAGCTGATCTCTTCATCTCAGGAGAAGGGACTGGGGGTTCAGGTGGCCACTCCCATCTCTATCGGCTCCATCCCTTGGGCCTCCAGTTCACCTCCTGTTCCTCTGATCTGAGCTCCAGAGAGGGACCATGTTGAGGGCCCCGAAAGCACCCAGCATTCATCCACGTCCCATCCAAGGCCACGCGCCCTCCTCCTACCTGGACCACCTTCCCCTCCAATCAGGGGTCTTCTCTGCTGCCTTGACCCCCATGCATTTCCCACATGGTGCTGAGATGGCAACTAAAACTCAGATCAAAAGTATTTGTAAATAATACATCTGATGAGGGATTATAAAGAATTCCTACAACTCAATAACTCGGCTAAAACAACAACAAAAAATTAAAAGTGACCAAAGGACTTGATAAAAACGAACTGAAATTTTAAGCAAACGTAATCAGTCAGGAGGGTATATGGGGGAAGCTGGGGCTTATGGAAGTTCTCGCACTCTGTGTGATCCCAAGAACCCTACATGCAAAAACCCGGAGGGAAGAATGCTATGTTTATAATATAAAGCTTGACGGTTCTAACTTCCTCTTCCCTTAACTTCCTTTTCTCTTACATAAATACCCCTCCATCTTGGCACACAGGCCAGAGTGTGCACATGGCTTGCCATGTCTGCATGCAATGGGTTGCAACTTTTTCTTTTTCCCCAATAAGTCCTTTCTGGTGATGAAACACCTAGTCGATATTATTTTTCAGCTGACAGAATTAAATAGACATTTTGCCAAAGAAGTTATACGAATGGCCAATAAATACATGAAAAGTTGCTCAATATCACACTAGCCATTAGGAAAATGCAAATCAAAACCACAATGAGATAGCACTTCACACCTGTTAGGATGGCTACCAACAAAAGGCACAATAAACCGGAAAATAGCAAGTGTTGGTGAGGATGTGGAGCAACCGGAACCCTCTTATTTTGCTGGTACAAATAGAAAACTTTGTTTGTTCCTAAAAATGTTAAACATAGAATTATCCAGCAATTCATCTCCTCAGAGAAGTGAAAGCAGGGACTCAAACAGATATCTGCATACCAATGTTCACGGCAGCATTATTCACACTAGCCAAAAGGTAGAAACAACCCAAGTGCCCATCAACAGATGACTGGATAAACAAAATGTTTATCGAGATATTTAAGGGACATTTGGGGAAATCACAGGCTACATAGTGATATTAAGGAATTATTGTTGAACTTTTCAGGTGTGATAATAAATAATGTTGTAGTTATTGTTCATGGTTACATCTTTTTGAGGTACATATGGAAGTTTTTACGTATAAAATGATATGATATCTGGGATTTGCTTCAGAATGATCCAGTGGCAGGGGTAGAGTTGAAACGTGACTGGCCATGGGTGTTGGAAATGGTGCTGGCTGTTGGTTAAGTAAAAAGTTCATCACATTAGTCTCCCTTTTTTTGCATATGCTTTAAATTGTTCATAATAAAAAAATTTTTTAAAGGAACTGTGCAAGAATAAGCCAAGATAATTTTTTTTTTTAAAAAGAGCAGAGATATGCCCTTTTGAATACCAAAACATATCCTCATGGCAACATCTTTCTCAATTGCCAGGCTAGATCCTGCAAGCAGCTGGGCATCTGTCCTACAGATCCCCTTGAACATGGGTGAAACGATGTGCACACACGGTTAGTCACTGCAGTAGCATCTTGGGCACGGCAAAGGATTAGAAATGACGTTAACTCCAGCAGGGAACAAATGCTGGTAACATCTCAATGATGGACTATAACATAACCAGCAAATAGAACAAGGAAATGTTGTCTGCCCAGATATAAGGGACCATCTCCAAGACCTATAATGTGGAAAAAAAAAAATAGCAAGGATACAGACTATAGCTCCATATAGTTAGTTGCACGTGCTACTATTCTTGCAAAAGATGAGAAAGCGTAATATGTGTGCAGATTTCCTTGTATCTGGTTAAAATGTCTCTGGAAGCAAAAACAGGAAACCAGATGACATTAGTTGCTTCCAGGGAGGTGACAGTGGTGGTTGATGGATAGAGGAGGAAAACATTTCCCTGCCTATATCGATATTACCTATCAAAAAAAGATTTATAACTATAAAGAATATTTAATTTTGAAAACTGTTACAAAAAGCAAATGCCACTAGATAGTGTGGACTTGTCTGTTCAGGAGAGCTTCAATGCACAAGGTCTTGAGATGTCCTGCGGGAAAGCAAATTAACTGCCTTTCACAATGCAGCTGACACGTAACCCATCTCAGGTACACCTATTAAGTAGAAACACTTTGGCAAACACCAGATTAACAAGATCAAATGTTTATTAAGCACTTTTTTGCAAGTCTCTCTGCTAAGCATTTGACATACTCAACCTCACAGCTCTTTATGTTGGTCCTCTGAGGTAGCAAGTATGACCGTCCCCAGCTCATAGTTGAGAAATGAGGCACGGAGAGGGAAAGTCACTTGCTCGAGGCTGCACATGGAGGAAAGGGTGAAACTGGTCGAGTCTTAGCTACATGGCGTGCACCTTCCCCCAAATCTTTTGTTGGTATATTTAAGTTGTTATCGAGCATCTTGTGTATTCCTGGCACTGATCTAACTGCTAGCTAGTGATTTAGAGGTGAGCAAAGGTTGAATAGTTGAACCTGGCTTCTTCTGCAGTGAGTGTCTTGCTCTAGCTGCAGACACGAGGACAGCAGACACTTGCTGAAGGGCTCGAGGACCACAGACTCCAGCAGAGGAAATGGGAGTTTATTACCAGCTTAGTGGAGAGATGGTGGGCTCTATGGGCAGGAGCTGAGGGAAGGCATAAAGATTGTATTCAAGGGCCTAATTAGCTCTCTGCTTGTCCTGGGTCCCTCAAGGCCCTGTGTCAGGCTCATGACCATGGAAGAGGCTATGGTTTGAATATTTGTCCCCTCAAAATTCCTATATTGAAATCCAAATGCCAGATGTGATGGTATTAGGAGGTGGGCCTTTGGGAGGTGCTAGGTCTCTCATGAATGGGATAAGTGCCCTCAAAAAAGAGGCTCCAAAAAGATCCCTCATCACCTTGAGGACACAGCGAGAAAGCACAGGCTATGAATGAGGAAGAGGGCCTTCACCCAAATGCGACCATGCCGACACCTTGATCTTGGACTTTCCAGCCTCCAGAACTGTGAGAAATAAATGACTGTTGTTTACAAACCACCCTCTGTGGTATTGTTATAGCAGACCAGATGGATGAAGACAAGGAAAATCAGGTCGCAGAGGTGGCATCCCAAGACAGGTTAAGGCACAGGGAGTGGGTGAGGCCAACTTCCCCCTGCTGGAGAGGGAGTGGGAGGCCCTCTCTGTGGGAACTGCCTGCTCCCATCCCCCAAGGCAGAGCCACTGGCGAGCTTCAGCAGACACTGAACACCGAGGGGGCCTGGCCCTGGTATTTCTCGTGGGCTGTTTTCAGGATGGGTATGAGGTTCTGGAAGGTTGGGCGGAATGAGGCCTCTGCCTTCCAGCACTTCTTCATGAGGAGATAGATCTGCGGGAGGAAAATGTGGAGCTGCGGTCGCTGTTCTGTCCACAGTCCAGTGGTGGAAGCAGGAGAAAGGAGTGGGGGAGTGTCTCACCTCACAGGGACATTTCTCTGGCCGCGGCAGCCTCTCTCCTCGCTCCAGCAGCTCTGTGAGCCTCAGTACTGTCATCTGCCCCTGGGTGAAGCCTATAAGCTCGATAAATTTCTAGAGAAGACACAAGACAAGCTCTTCAAGAGTCAGCGTTGTCTAGGTGGAAGTCAGGAGCCTGAAGCAGGACTGCAGAGAATGGAGCATTTCACCTCTATCACTTCTCAGTTGCCTAACTTTGGGCTTAAGACTTCATCTCTTTAGCCCTGTTTTCTCATCTGTGAAATGAAGTAATAACTTCTAACACTTGGGGTGATTGTGAAAGAAACATGCACAAAGTCTGAATCAGGTGTTTGCTGTTGTTATTAAGCCTCCCAGCAACTTGTTTCGCTTGCCCCAGATTTTTTTTTTCCTCCTACAAAGGTGCTCTGCTTGGCTTTGGGAATAAAGCCTTGGCCCAGCCAATAGTGTGGCTCGTGGCTGCACAGTGGTTGGCTCCCTGGAGGACACGAGCCAAGCTGGGACCATTAGGGCCTTGAGAATTCACCTGGAAAGAGGACACTTGTTCCCTTCAGCTGGGGAGAATGGGTTCCTGGAGGGCTGGGAGGGGGGCACTGTTGCAGCAACAGAGAGATGGCCTGCCTGAGAGATGCTACCATAGAGAACAGCAGAGCTGAGGGACGGAGAAAATAGGATTCACGATGACTCCTGAGAGTCTAGATCAAGCCGTGTACCAACTATACGCTGGAGTTTGCAAATAGCGGAATAAGCTGTTCCTATTTGAGTGGAGTTTCTGCCACAAAGCCCCTGGAATTTTCAGTGGCCCATTTTACAGAGACTGTGAGGCTCAGGTGGATTAAGCACTTGCTAAGCTGGGAATTGAATGCATGCCTTTCTAACTCCTCCAGTATGGGGTGGGGGTAGAGGCTTGGCTCTCACCGAAGGGGGGCTTTGGCTGGAGTCACAGTAGGTCAGCAGTTCATACATGGTGACCCCAAAGGACCAGACGTCGGATGCATAGTAGAACTTACACTCCTTCAAGCACTCTGGGGCATACCTGAAGGGAGGGGGCAGTCAGGCCTTGGGCCAGAACAGGCTGAAGTCCTTATCTGGGGCTAGGGAGCCCTCTAGCCCGTTAGGGCCCCACCCTTGGAGGGGGCAGTTTCACTAGAACCAAGCCCTGTCACCTGAGGCCCCAGCGTCCACCTCCTCCACCCCTGTATGCTCCAAATGACCCTGCCCACCCCTATCGTCTGGGTCTTCCTAGTCACCAGAACACAGGACTGTCCCCATCCTCTCGCACGCGGTAGTACTCGTGGCCTTCAGGCACAGCTTTGGCTAGGCCGAAATCGCCAATCTTGACCAGCCTATTGTTGTCCAGCAGCACGTTGCGCGCAGCCAGGTCTCGGTGGATGTAGTGCTGCGTGTGCAGGTAGGCCATGCCCTGGGTTGGGGGGCGGGCAGGGCCAGGTCTGAGGAGCCGTGACCAGGATGGCTGGGGAGCAGTCAGGCCAGGCTTGCCGAGACGGGGCGCGAGAGCAGGCAAATTGACGGGGAGAATGGAGCAAAAGGGAAAAGGGCTGGGGCCACCCAAGGGACTCTGGGCAGGAGCGGGGCAAATTGGGAGGGACCGGGCTGCGGGGCGTGGCCAAGCGAGGGAAGGGAGTCTCTGCGAGTGAAAACTAAGTAGCTGGGGGCCCGGCTGGCGCGGGTGTGGCCAAGTAATCGCTGAATGGACAAGTCTGTTGGAAAGTCGGCCTAGGGGCGGGGTCGGGCAAGCAAAGGAATGGGACACTCAGGCCAGAGTAGGATGCAGGTTCTGCGAGCAGAGGCGGGCAGCCCCACCTCGCAGATCTGCTGAGCAAACAGCAGCAGCTGGGCCAGGCCAACGCTGTGCCGGGGCAGGTAGTCTCGGAGGCTGCCCAGGGGCACGTACTCCATGACGAGCTGCACTGATTTCTCGCCTGACGGAGACAGAGGCAGGGGCCAGGGATCGCCCACCCTGAACCCTGCTGTCCCCCGCCCCAAGGTGGGGAAGGCCAAGACTCGCTCACACTAGGCCCAGTCCTCGGGTGGGATGGACCCACCCTGAGCTGGCAGTGGCTCCCGCCCACTTTGGCCCTAGCAGAACGCCCCCCTAGATAGAAAGGAGGCAGCCCGACCACGTGCACCTCGGTGCCCAACAAACTGCGTCCTCCAGCCTGGGATCGAGAGAGTCTAATTGGCCAGGCCCTGCCCCAAGCTCTAGCCCCGCCCCGTCGCCGCTCGTTATCCCCTCCGGCCCCGCCCACCTTGGTCCTCGCAGCACCCCTTGTATTTGACGATGTTCTCGTGAGAGAGCGTGCGCAGGATGTCGATCTCCCGCCTCCAGCCGGTGCTGAGCTGGGGGCCGCAGCCCGCCTTAAGGGCCTTCACGGCCACCATCTCGCCAGTGCTGTCATTGGTCGGGTCGTAGCAGTACAGGCTGACCTTGCCAAAGTGACCCTGGCGAAGAACGCGTAATGGTCGGCCCCACCCCCGACTCCCCGGGCACCTCCAGACTGGTCTGTGTGGAAAATCCTAGACCCCATCTACTCGGTGTTGCTGGGTCTCCTTGGGTCCTAGGCCTCCCTTAAAGCTGAGGGTCTTCTGGGCCAGGCCCCACCCCCCCCAACACACACCCTTACGCAGGATTTTCCTTAAGACTGGAACTCTTCCCCCACCAGGCAGGCATTCTAACAGCTAGGTCCCGCCCCTGGCCCCGCCCTCACCTCGCCCAGATCCCGGATCTTTTTCAAATAGCGCTTGTGGAAAACAGTGGGGTCTGACGCCTGACAGTCTGGAGTCACAGCCAAGCCATCAACAAGATCTGGAAGAGCCACAGTAGATGAAGCTGGACCCCGGCCCTTTACCTAGCAGACCCACACAGGAAGTAGGTGATGGCTTCCCCGAGTATCTACCCAGAAGTAAAGAAACTTTTTTTGCAAAACTGGTCCGAAGTGCAGAGTTGGCTGCATCAAATCGATACCTGGGAAGTTCTGAGACTGGGTCAGGGGCACAAAATTTTCACCAAGAGAAAACAACAAAAAATTATCCAAATAAGTGTGGCTATCCCCAGGCAAAACATAAGAACTTGGGGCATTCCCCCACGGAGTGAATTAGAATCCGGCACACACCTTGAACCACTGTAGAGACC